CTGCTGCCTCTCGATCTCAGTGGATCTATATTTGAACTGCAGTTTAGTATAATTCAAAGTGACATGAGAAAGAGAACTTCTCTGTTCCAGTGTGCCTGAAGTTATTAAAACCACATTTGCCTTAGACTGGATGGTGAAATGAATGATGCATAGAGTATGATTATGTTTGTCAAAAGTGAGTAGATGTTAGCATGGATCTTCTTCATACCAATCGCATGATAAAAGGTATTTGTGGTCAGTATTGGTCTTTCAGACTGATGCCCAGACTGGAGTCAGGAGTTTGCAAGTGCTTAACTGCTTCTTCCTCTGAACTTGGAGACGTCTGCGAGGATAGGTGCACCTCTTCCCCTACTCCTGGCTGGCCAGATGCAAGTGCCATCTCCGTGCAGCACTGCCTAGGCTCTGCACCTCAGCAGAGGTTTTCAGGTGGTTATGAAGGCCCTCAGGAGGCTGCCAAAGCAAAACCTTGTAGGAGAACTAAGGGATGTCTGTAAGCCTGAGAATTGTGGCCGAATTTAATTTTGAGCCAGTGCTGCCCTCTGCTGAAAAGAATGCTCTTCTGGTTAAATCAGATATTAATGCACTTTGTTACTTGAAATTAAGCAAGCAACTGGTTAAAACTCTCCTGCAGAAAGATAGCATGTGTACTGTTTAGATGATTTAGTTGAAATCTGTGCTTTCTCTAAGTATGAACTTTCCTGTTTGTCAAACCCAGACCATGCATAGTTGGGTGGGTGAGGATTTGCCAGCTAGGACAACTACAGCTTCCTCAGGGCCCGGTGAAGGAAACTTGGAAGAGAAATGTAAACAGGTAGACTAAAAGCCGTGTGCACTAATCACACTAATCGTGTTTGCAGTCTCAACTCAACTGTCTAGCTGCGTAAAGAGACCTTGACTGGGAGCCTGAAAAAAGCGTGTCTGTCTGTGAAGTAATTTTTGGCTTTGGTGTGCTTTTCTTTTAACTCTCTTGTTGTAGTCCCTCATAAGCAATCAGGGTATGAGGTCCTCTCCTTTTACGGGGCTGCCAGTGTTGTGAGCCCATCGCCAACAGAAATTTGAGTAACTTGAAAACTGCTTTCAGATAGCTCAGGCAACTAGCTGCTTATTCTGCTTGGTCCATTGGACCAGCGACAGCAGCAATCATAAGGCACTTGTGTTAAGCTTAGGTCACTGACTACATTTCCTCTCTAAAATCAATGGATTTTTCCAGTTAGCCTTGATCTTTTTGCTTAATGAGCCCAAACCATTTCGAAGAGACCTTATTATAATTCAGCCAAGTTGCAGAGGTTACAGATTTTGATAAATCTGGCCAACACCCACTTGCTAGGTGAAAACAAAAACCCAGAAGTTACTAAAGCATTTGTGTCCCTTTAGCGGCTGACACTTGGACAGCATGAACTGCATTGACCTAAGTGTGAAACTTTGGGAGCTGCTACCGGCTTGTGGAACCTGATCCCTCGCTGCATTGTTATAAGGAAAATAATGAAGTTACATAAGCGATCCTCTGCAAATGACTCAAGAACCTGACGTGGAGCCAGACCCCCTCACTAGCATAGTCAGGCTCTGAAGTCACTGGAGTTTCTCCAGCTCAAGCCAGCAGAGAACTGCTTCATTAAGATTAGATTATCTGTAGGGTCTACGTTATATGTCACTGAAAGGAGATGGATTATTGTTCCACACTAATGGTACTGGGACACAAAGGCAAGGGAAAATTCAGTATTATTCTTTCTTCAAACTATATATCATCAAGCATGAGTGTTGCATGGAGAATGTTTGTACATTGTGTACAGAAATAAGTTTTTTATTGCTTGTTTTAAATTTATCTGCTCCTTGAGTAATCTAATGAAACAAGGGCCAAGATTTGCAGAAATGACCAGTGCTTCTGAGATTATGAAAATGTCCTCTGGTTTGTCACAAGCTGAAAATCCACAGATTTAAAACTTTTAGAAACATTATCTGTAAAAGATGTCCTTTGACTAGATAAATGCATGCTAGATAAATGAAACTTAGAGGATTGTCAAGTGTGTCCAGATCTAACTATTAGACAGGTGTAGACGTGCTGCTCCTGATGCACTTCGTTACTGAAATAAAATTATCTGTATTAGAACTGGGAAGTATTGCAAGAGTGCAACTTGGAGCATGTTATGAATGTGATTTCAAGCTAGCACGGGCCTTCCAGCTTTTGAGTTCAGTGGTAACAGTGTTCTTGATTTTATGGTAGCAGGGACCAAGACCTTTGTGTGTTAAATCTTAAGTAGGAAATCATGGCTGAACTTTCAGATAATGGCTTTTGCCTGAAATAAGCCTGGAAGTGCGGTTGGATGGCTGAGGACTATTTAAAAAGAACACAGCCAAGGTTAACCCATGTAGCTCTAGTGTTGCTTTTGAGAGCTTTACTGGAGCACCACTCCCAGGCTGTAGTAATACTTGGCTTTATTTTAAAAAGCATAGACTATAGGTCTACTTTCTTTCAGGCCGCATAAGATTGTAAGCGTTGTGAGCGACTGTTCAGCACTTCATTGAAAGCCCAATGACCTGTTTGCAGGCAACAGCAAAGCTACTGAAGAGCACTCGGTACACACAATACTGGCAGACACTCCTAAAGACAAGCTGTATTTTGTGCAAAGAGGGAGGGTGGACACAGTCCTTTTTTCATTAAAGCCAAAACAAAAAAGTGGAACAAAGTTGAAGTGACTTCTGGGAGCTGAAACTTCCCTCAGATACTCCTGAAGCACGTCGTCGGTGCTATCCGTGTTTGTGTGTCAGGGTTAAACCGTACCAATTAGATAACTCTGCTTCAAAGTGAAGCCACAGGATCACAGAGTCCCTGGTGGAGCTTTGGTGAAGATTTTGCTCAGATCTGTGAGAAGCATCTTAGACCTCTGGCACACAAGAAAGGTATCTCCAGAATGTCACATTATAGAGTGTGTCTGCTCTTGCGCCTGTTTTGCTCTGTTTATATAGGCAGTCTCCAAGGATGACTTTATTTCTAACCCATCGATGGGAGATAGTGGGACAAAGGTATCTTTAATCCTTTCCCGCCTCACTGTACCTTAGGCAGCTCCTGACTTACCAGTTGATATCTTCCAGATATTCTAGTCTGAGCAATCTCTCAACCTGGGAAACCTTCTTGATCAATTTTCCTGATTTTTTATCTCAATGAATATGAGATCTGCTTGTTCTGACACAGAAGATCTGCATGTCCACTTCCTAACCATCCGGGTTATGCATGCCATTCACAAACAGGAATGAACTTTGGCATGACTTGGCACTTTGCATTCAGCTCAACATGCTGATTGTTGTTCTGAGATCTCTTGTTTGCAGTAATATTTTTATTACAGAAAATACTATGCTGGTGAAAACTTAAAAGTTCTTGGATCAAAATGGACAGAAATACACGTCCTTGTTGGATACCAGGCAGGCTTCAGGGCAGACTTGCCCAAAACTTCAGGTCAGAGGAGGGTAGAGTATGGAGTTAAGAAAGCCACAGGGAAAATTATCTCCCCACTTCTTTCACCCTTAGATCTTTAGTGTGAAGTGAATAACGACATGCTGTGTTTCTGTTCAAGTCAGTGAGAGTTTTGACAGGAGGCAGCATGATCCATCTGGAATGAAGAATGTGAAGACCTGTTGTTTGCTGCGCTCCTTGGAAGCCCATTGAGTGTGGTGTGCCTCAGTTTCTTTGTTGGCCATATAAAAAGGATGTTACCAAACTTTCATGGATGGAAAATGTTTTTATATACAAAGCTGTGTTACTGCAAACTGGGGCTGATAGCAGAAGGAACAGTATAGCTTGAATTGCGATTTGTACACTGAAACAATGAGGTACTTTGATTCCCCTCCACTATGAAAGGGGTTTTGTGTACCCAAGTTCATCATCTGCTAAAGGATTCCACTTCACAGGGAACTGCAGATACGCTTAATTATTGCAACTTCACAAACGCATTACATACTAAAAACTCCTTCTTTGAATTGATGAGAGCAATGAATGTACAGTTATCGCCACAGCAGTGTATTATATTTTTACCCTTTTTAACATTCTCTTTCATTTTTAGGAAGTTTTAGAAAGTTCCCAAAAGGGTCAGACACAAGTGTCTGCTCTTCCTAAGCCTATATGTATGCTGTTCCAAAATAAAAGCATGTGTAGCTTTGCTTCTTACTTTGTGAGCCTAAGCCACATTGTCTTAGTTCAGGATACGCAGAGCTGTATGTTTGCTAATAGAGTTAGTGGAGATCCTGTTCCGGCGGCTGTTCTTCCAGGCAGATAGGACAAACCCTGTCCAGTGAAATTAATGGTAAAATTCTCAATTGTTTCAGTGGTACCCTGGTTTCACTCATTAAATTTGGGGACTCTGGTGGGGTTTAGCCTGTCCATGGATGAGAGAAAGGTGGTTATCACCATCCCAGTAGATCTTCCACTTGAGATGGAGAGTCTTCTGTTGCTGAAACAGCCTCAGTGGTGAGACTTGCAAGGAGAGGTGGGAAAACAGAAGCAGAGATTGTCTGTCTGATGAAACAAACTTGTCAGTTCCTTAGGAAGAGGAGAGGTTGGGTGGGAAGAGAACTAGTCCCATTTGCACTTAAAATAATAGAAAGCATGGGAATGACAAATTGCAGTCCTTGGTTCTTCATACTTATCTGAGCTTCTGGGTTTATTTGTTTCCTGTTAATTTTTGCAGTAACTTGTTCAACTGAAATACGTGCTGGACAGGACGATGGTAAGATTTTCTCACTAGCTGTGAAGAGCTGTACACTTCACATCTGAGAAGTTACCGATATAAATGCGAAAGTATATTGTAAACTCTTAAGAACTAAAAAGTTAACTATAGCAGTGAGCAATTCCTTATGACACTTCACAAGGAATATCTCAAAAGTTTGTCTAGTACGGGAATCTGCTTTTTGGATGAAACACATATTTACCATAAGGATCATTACCAACAGAATGCATACGCTTTTCAAAGAATAAAAACTGATGGTCTTTTCTTTCTTCTTCTTTTCAGGCAGCACAAATAGTCCTGATTTCTCTCTTTGAATTGAATACTCCCGAGTTTACCATGTTACTTGGTGCCTTGCCAAAAACATTCCAGGATGGTGCTACCAAGCTTCTGCACAACCACCTCAAGAACTCCAGTAACACCAGTGTGGTGAGAGGCCCTTGTTCTTGCAAACAGCAGAGCCCCAAAGACAGCAGCTCACTGATAAGCGGTTGCAAATGTTCAGTAGCACGAATTATCTGTAGCTGTTGTCTTGAAGCAATATGGCAACAGCGGCTTCTGTTTGTTGCTTTTATAGGCACCGTTAAAACAAAAAACTCAGTTATTTTTAAATTTAACGTAGTCATAACCAGTACAGATTTTAAAAAAAGCATTACTGAGAAACGCGTGAAAGTTGGTGGGGTTTGTGCTTTCAAGTTGGTGCTTTTGAAAATCCTGCCAGTAACGACCTTTTGGCTAAAACAGAGATCCTGATACCACAGGTTTTATGGGCTTACCACTACTATTGAAAGTAGTTTAATAACAGATATATTGTCTACTAAGAAGCTTGCAGGATCTTTGATGTGACCTACAAGGTCTCCTCAGTCTACACCTATTACCTTATGTTTGGTTTTACATGAAACTGTTACATATTTTTATTTCTCTGAAGGAATATGTTAGTAGAGGATTTAAGTGTGCTTCTAAACTTCTTTTTCCCCCAGAGCAGCAAGGATTAGGGTATTTTTGCCTTTTTTTTATGCGGAAGTCTTGTGAAACTTGCTGGAATTTGAACCCTCCTAGCTTTGCACTTCCATAGGGACAAATAGACTTGTGTGTGAGCTAGAACTGCAGCATTAGGCTTCCAGGGAAATGGATAGGATTCTCTAGTACCTTCGATCTTATGTGAAGAGAGTCAGAATTGCGAGCAATTTCTACTCATTTTGCTGTGGTATAAATAATTGTGCAGGCCAGTGGAAAAATGATAAGTTAGATTGCTTGCTTATGCTCCTGACAAGCATAATCAGAATGTTTTAGACAATGCGGAAAATAGCTGCATAATTAAATTGCTAAATTGCCAGGGTAATGGTCTGCATACTTTGGAGCCTGGAAAATAGTATCTGAGAAGCTGGGTAACCTGGTGGACTGATAAACCATTTCTCTGGCAATATTTGCAGGCCGTATGTGTTGCGTAGTTAAAATTGCAGGGTCGGTGGACTGTAGAAAAGCGCACATGTGCTTTCTTTGTCCTCAGAGCAGTACCTTCAAGAACATGTTAATGACTGTTAACCATAGCTGCAGATTTTTTAGGTCAAGAGACAGAAACAAAACTGCACTAAGTTCGTCTAGCGCAAACAAAGGCAATATTTGGACCTGTTGTTGTGTACTCCTGCCTGTGCATTGCAACACATTGCTAATCCCTGTCTTCCTGCTTCTGTGCCAGGGTTCCCCCAGCAATACCCTTGGTCGGACTCCTTCCCGGCACTCCAGCAGCAGAACCAGCCCCTTAACTTCACCTACCAACTGTTCCCATGGTGGACTGTCTCCAAGGTAATGTGGAAGGCTAATTAAACCACTTGCAAAATATTAAAGGATTTCAACACTGCGTGTGCATTTGCAGAATATGACTCACTTTGAAAGCAAAAACAAGACCAAAAGTTTACAGTAGATTGCTCCAAAGGAACAGGGTTTGAACATGTTAATACACGGTTGGTGATTGATTCCAGTGTTCCAGTCCTCATGTTATCTGTGTAATCTTAATGTCTTTTCTTATAATATTAATTTTCTTTCATAACTAGGCCTTCTCCAGAATCAGTTTTGTGGGTTCAATGAAGGTGATGTTAAATGGCAGCATTAGAAATGAGGTCTTGTTGAGGTTGCATATATCACAAAGTATATGATGACTTTCAGGTCAAGGGTTTCAGATTGTGTCTACTTTTTAGGTGTGCCCTTGTGATCAGTAATTCATCTGACTGTAGTACAGTGCTTGTGCTGCTGAGAGAAGTACTGAATCTCCTGTTCCCCTCTTATGCTTTGTGAGGATGCAGAACAAGCAGAGGTGGTGATTGTGTTTAATGCTGAATACCTCTCAAATCACCCTCCTGGCTGCTCACCAGCAGAATAGTGGCCTGATCCTTTGGGCAGCAGGTCTATTGCAACCAGGTGTTTTGCTGAAGCTGCAGATGCTACCCTAGAATACATTGGTCCACTCCAAAACCTTTTATTGAGCAAACATGGACTCTTGGATATTGGGAATGTACACGTTTCGCACCATAAAAACTTAGAGCAGAGGAGATAGGAATGTAAACAGTATGCTCTGGGACCATAGAAATATTGGAGGAAAGTATTAGGTTGTTACCTGGACAAGCTTTGATTCATGCTGGGAAAGCTTAAAAGCTGCTGCTCTTGTCTGCCTGCCCTCCCTCTCCATGGGAGGTCACTTCCCTTTGTCACAGAGGAGACAGAAGGAAACATGTTGGGTGAGGATGGCAGTTCGAAGTCCAGTATAGTAATTTACACTAAAATCTGTTGATCGGCCCTGTTGTGACTTGCTGAACCCTGTCTGGAGGGATGCTTAGACATGTAAGTTCCCATGTGTCAGGAAAAACACAGGCTTTTAGCCTTTGATGAGTAGTTATACTAATTCCAGCAGCATATGAGGAGCACATGGGGTTTCCTGAGAAAGTTTTTGATACCTAAATACATCTTTGTGACCCCTAAATCTGCTGTAATCCAAAACTAGACAGAGGTTGCAAGCCAAGGTCGAGTTGCCTATTATGATTTTTTTCAACAAAGGTTTCATTAAGAAATTAAGTGGTAGAGTTTCAGGGGAATGGTTCCAACCATGTTGCTTCCTTTTTGACTAGTTTGAGCGTTGTTGCCCTCCTGATATCTGTCATGGGAAATTATAAACTGAGATGTCTTCCTGTGGTTACGTTTTGGCTTTGCTGGCCACGTTTGCATGTGGCACCTATTTTAAAAAATCCATGACCTTTTACCATGCTTTTTGGGTTTTGCCATTGGGACACAACTGTGTTTTGCCACTTCATGCACTGCTTTTCAGTTTGTCTTTGCATTCTTCTCACCTCTTGATGTCAGAATGCACATATCGAAATATTGATTAAAGCATTCAGTGTACACTTCATACTTTGCTGTGGTTTTCTAGCATTTTGGGTTTAGGAACTTGACGGGTTTTTTCCCATGTGATATGTTCTCAAGGAATAGTTAGAGAGGGTGTGTAATTCCAGAGCATTCTGCCATTAAGTTGTCAAGACCAAAACTGCCACTGGTGCAGAGGTCCAGGACTTTCCTTTGGGAAACGACCATTCCTTCAATTTTCTGTGGAGTTCTTGGAGATGTTGATCCAAAACTTTAGATGTCTTTTCAAGAAGTGTGTCCTGCTTCCTTGCTGGATTTAGTTATTCAAGAGTGATGTGTAAAAGTTATTCTTCAATGATAGGTGAAGGTGGAAGCTGCTGTAAAAGCCCTTTAAAATATTCAGGGGAGAAGTTCTACTTTTTTTGGTGAGTGACCTGAGCAGTAACAGTAGCCGCAGATTTTTACCATTTGCAGAAAAGGTGGTGGCAAGTACTGCAAATCAGTGGCAGTAGCTTCTGATGCTCTGATGGCCTGCATCCTTCTAGAAAATGTCTTGTGTAGCACAGCTTGAGCATGGTCCCAACAGAACAAGGGAGAATTTACCTCTGTTTCTGAAGAGTACATGTGGTCGTCCTTCTTTCAGAAAAAAGGCTTTGGAAGATGTGCTAACAGATTTCGGGAAGTAGGCTACACTGCAGGATTGCAGTTGTTGGTGTAGATGCTTCTGTGTTGTGTTTCCATTACAAATGCTTGTCATTTGCTATTCATCAGTGGTGCAAAATGTCACTTTTCTCTCTATAAACTCGGAAATTGAGCACACCCAAGTCATTCTGATAGCAGTGTGAAAGGATAAAGATTCCCACAGTTTCTCTGTGTAGCCCTCCTCTGAAACTAGGCTTGGCTTTACGTTTTTATGGGACCCATTGCCAAAGGGTTGTACCAAGGTTGTGTTTGCCCGTTGCTTCCTGGGGTGCTCCATGTGCGGGCTCTGCTTACCTTGTCCATGCCTGTGTCTCATACAGGCAGCCTGAGTGCAGTGGTTTTGAAGATTGTACTTTGCTTTGAATTTTTTCTTGATGCACAAATTGGAGGAATCATATCTGGAGAGGTATATGTTTTTGAGGCTGGGATATGTGCCAAAAGGATAGTTTGGGTCCTGTAGGAATATAGAAATGCTGCTAAGCATAGCTGCTCTCCCATATTACTAATGGTTTGTGAACAATATCCTAAATATGAATCAGCAAGGCTTCATTGATACTGACTTTCTATAGCATGTATGTATGCTGTTGCCCTTAGGTCACATTACTTCTCCCATATTATTGCCATCACAACTGAATTCTAGATGACTGATCTTTTATTTTTTGTGTGTGTGTATTTGTGTGTACGTGTATTTGCGCGCTCTGGATAGATTTTGAATGTTTTGGTTGAACTGGACTTTGCTGATGCAAACAGCTAGTTTGCCTATGCAGATGATAACATCTGCTTAAGTATGCCCTGATGTTAGTGTCTTCAGAAGGGTAACTCTCAGAGGGTGCTTCCAGGGCCTTGGGCAGAGTCCTTCCTTCTGCTGTCATTTGTTCCATCCAGTTCTGCTTCATGATCACTAGAACATATCCACTGCATCTGTGAGTTACTTCTGCATTTGTACCTGCTTTTTTTGTCTTGACAGCTTTAGTTTTGGGGGAGAGGAGTTATGGAGGAAAGAGGTGTTTTCTGAAGAAGAAAAGCAGGGGAGGGCACTAGGAAAGACTGAAAATAATAGGAAAAACCCCAGACTTCTGACTGAGAGGAAAGAATGTTTCCTGGGCAATGCTCAGATGAATGGCTTGAGTTTGTGTTGGACAGAGAAAATTTAGTAAATGATGTAGTATGACAACAAGGAAAATACTGAATTGTGAAGTCCTCCAGTGTAGGAATAGTGTTCTGAATGGCAAATGAACTCCTGTAAACTCAAATGTTACATTCAGGTTGTGAATTTTCACCTAGAATTCTGCAGGAATATTTGAAGGAATATAAAATGAATAGGTTTGCCCTACTCTTTCTGCCTTTATTAGTAGCCCAGAAACCTGTGCGTAGTTCCAATTATTAAAAAAAACCCAAATTTAGTCCTTCAAAGATCTCTAGAGGAAATGCATCAAAATAAAAGGCTAACAATTTTATTTGGCTATGTAAGTTTATGTGCTTGTTTTTTCACTGACAATAGAAAATACCAATAAAAATAAAATTTGACAGTTTCAGTATTAAGTTGAGCAAGGCAGAGCATGGAAAAAGAATTAAAATAAGCCATCCACCTTACACAACAAGGACAAGCCTGCATTGTTTGGTGGCGTGTTCGCAGGTGGGTGAGACCTGAGCTGTGAGACTTCTGATCAGCAGTCTGGGTGTCTTGGTGTATTTCTGTAATAGTTGCATGTAATAGCTCTAGCTTTTGATTGCTGGTTAATGAGTGAATTTCTTGACACCACTCTTCAGAGGAGTTTTCAACTGGCTTTGCTGCTGTTTGCACTGGAGCAATTCTTGACTTGTTTGCCACTTCTGATCTTTCACTTGTGTATACACAAATGTGACTTTCTGAGGCACTGTACTTAAACTTAATAGAAACAAAGTGGTGTCCTGAATACTCCACCAGCTGAAGCATCTATATTCTCATTTAGAAGATGATTTTGAAAATCCATGTACCATGAAGGGAACAGAACAAAAGCAAAGGTTAGACAAATTGGCACAGGGATGGATGCCTTGACCCAAAGGTGCAGGATCAAACAGTAACCAGAAGGAGCTTGTTGAAGTATGATGAGATCTGAATCACCTTAGAGGCTGGTTTCATCCAGTCTTTCCAGGTTTGTCTGCTGAGACCTGGGCCAAGTCCCCAGTGTACGTGATACATTTACACTCTAAACTGACTTTCACTTGCTGCATATTTAGGATCAGTTTGAATCTGGTGAAATAGGATCAGGTCTTAAGCCAAGCAAAGGTTTGCTGATTGTGTAGGGCCTGATTGCAGGCTCTTACAGAGGCACCAGGAGCCAAACTTGACAAGCTACCTTTGGGTGTCTGATAAAAAAATCAACTCCAACTTTCCTTTCTTCCAGGGAAATCCTGTTGCTCGCAAATACCTGCTTAGAGTTTGCATACAGATGTGTGGTCAGGTATTGTTTACTTAGAGCATTTTAAGAGTTGTTTATAGAGGGTATATCCATTTGTAAAATGTACTGGTTAGTACAAGCAGGGACTATTTTTGTATGAACCATATCATGATGTTAGGAATAAAAGTGGAAATGAATAATAAAGGCCAAAACAATGACTTGTGAGGCTCAATGGAGTATTCTTGTTTAATTTTGTTTCTATTAATTTTTTTCTCTCTCTCCAAGGCAGCATGACAGCACTAAGCCACTCAGATTATAGTTTCTTTTTTTTTTTCCCTCTCCTTTCTCTGTTTTTTCTCTCTTTCGTTTCTCTTCTGATCACGGCAGTCGGTTCTGGGGTTGGAGTGCAGATGGGCTGTCGAAGCACCCCCCTCCCCTTTCTCAGCCTAACTCCATCCCCACTGCTCCTTCCCACAAGACTTTCAGACGCTCTTACTCTCCCAGGTAACAAGCTACCTGTTAAACCAACTTGTCTGAGGTGTCACAGTATTATTTACCTTCCACACTGTGGGATTTGTTCAAACGTGGGAAATGATTTGCAGAGGCTTTGGTTGGAAAAGGAAAAGAGATGATGATGGCTTTCAGAGAGTGGAGGTGGCAGGCAGCCGCTTGCTTGCTGCTTGGGGAAAATGCAGCATGCAAGTGGGGGAAAAAAAAGGGGATTTAGCCAGACCCTTCCTCCCCACCAAGTTCCTGAATGGGTGTACATTTCACAGTTGGCTTCCAACGCAGAACACAGTTGGTGAGCACTTTTGGCAGGCACTGGTTGCGTTATAGCATGGGCAAGGTCTTTCAACTTGGCTATACTGTGCAAGTGACACATGAGTACTTTCAAACAGGCAAATACAGCTCAGCAGTGATTTCACATCTGCAGCAGTGAATATCCATAGAACAATGAGGATGAAGCTTGCATGTATGATTTCACCAGCTGCTTGCACACTGTGACTGTGGAACATTTTAGAAATTTGTAGTATTGAAATTAAAATTGTCCTTACCACAAGATTTAGAGGTTACCGATCATTAATTTTGACGTCTCTTCCTCCTCCTGTGCCCTCACATTTTGTTCCAATCTGCATACAGATCTTCAGTCAGTATAGTGGACTAAAGCTGTATACTGGTTTTATTCAAAAAACCCTTCTGAATACAAATTTAATTTGTCAGACCTCTCTGTTAAAGTCCTTGGATTTTTTTTAAGTTTATACCCTGACAACAGGTTTTCTGTAGATATGGTTTCTCCTGATTTAAATACATGTATTACCTGAGGAAGGACTATAATATAGTCTGTCCTTGAATCAAGAAGTTCCTAATGAGAAACTATTGAAAGAACAGCAAACAAATTGTTCTTTGAGTGCTCAAAATCTGGGAATCTGTGACAGATTTTCTCTGAGAGAGAAAATTGAATCCTGTAGTCCATACCTCTGTGAATACCTGCAGAATTAAAACTTTAAATCAATGTTCTTACTCTTCTAGGACACTAAGATATCTGCGGAAGAGATCCGTGTTAGTTTTTGGAGGTAAAATAGTTGAGAACTTTTTTCCTCCTTTCATTAGCTGACACCAAGGTTTGGAATAATTTGACGTATATTCCAGCCCAGAGCCTGAAAGTGCAAGGAACTGGGTTACTGTGTACTGCTTGAGGATGCTACACTGTTGATTACTTATGCACAGTTTGGATTGGAAACTGAATAATAGTTTATGGAAGTAAAATGTGTTTTATGTCAGACTGGAAAGCTGCCAAATTGTGTTTTGATAAACCTGTAGAGAGCTGCATTGTCTTAGTGCAGCAGAAGATGGAAAATAATGTTGTGACATCCCTAAACGCTGCTCATCTCTACTCACTTCTTATTCATCCTGTGACTTTCCTCTAGTTTTCTGCATGGGTCAAATTTTTTTTCCCCTTTTGTGCCTTTTTTTTTTCCTGAAAGGTGGGTGTAGTTCCATTTTAGTTTTTCATTCCCCCCATCATGTTGTCTGTGAAGTATTCCAGCTCACATACTGTCAATAGACATGTGTGTTCACATGTAGAGTTTTCGTTCATGTAGGACACAGCCATAATGTGATCTCCTACACAGGCTTACTCTTGACATATGAAATCACTGGATTCTTTAGATTTTTATTAAAATGTGGTTTCGTGCTTTGAAAAATAGATCAGATCGGTGGCTCTTTGTTGAGAAATTGCCTTAGTCCTTTAGCATTGCAGAGCCTGTACTTTGATCTATTCTTTGGTAGCAGTGTAGAGCAAAATTCATCTCTGAGGAAAGAAGCAATGATTTTAGCTGAAGATTTAGTGTCAGTATATCTGTGATTATTTCTTGGGTTTTTTGCCATGGATTTCATTGTGTGACCTTTGGTAAATCATGTCCTCTCTCGGTGTGGGTACATGGGTATAGTCATATGTGTACCTTCTCGAATGGTGGTTTCATTCCTCACTTAAATATTGTATGAGGAATCCCTTAAGACCTATGAATTAAACGTGCTTGAGCTCAAAATTAGTATTTTTGAGATCATATGAAACAAAGGTTGTCCTATCCCTGCCGGACACTTATAAAGAATCTAAAAACCACCTTCACTTTTGTCTGGAAAGCCATCACAGTGCATTAGTGTCATTCAGCTATCTGAAAAGCCCTAAATACTTCAACTTCTGTATGTTTATAAATAGCCCTTGTTTCCTGGTCTTGGTCTGTTCTTTAAGTGGTTTCTCCTTCTTCCTGGCCTGACAGACACTGTTTAAAGTTGGGGAGTTGTTCTTTGGTTTCTTTGCCAGAATACATGGTGCTGATGCTTGTGTGATCGTAGAGCGAGCGCGTTGCTTGGGAGCCAGGGATTATGGCTATTTTCAGTGTGTTAGTCCCGAAGGAATCGGGCAGCACCAATCTTATCCTCTGTCTGAAGTTCCTGAATTTCTTCCAGGAAAAAAAAGTAGTGGTTCTAGATATTTAACATTCTACTTCTAGTTCTATTGAAAATAATAGCTGTGTACCCAGGATTCAGAAGGGATTTTCTGGTTTTTATTTTTTTCCCATCCACCTCACAGGGAATCTTTTCTTTTGTGGAAAAGGATCACAGCTCTTTGTTCAGCTGTCCTCCTCCAAGCCCATCCTGTCATCCTTCCCCAACTGTTAAGAAATAGTAATTCACCCCCCGTAGGGAGCCACTTCTTGCCATTTATTGACAAACAACTTGATGTAAATGTCTCAAATTCTTTTGGTTTATTTGCTTCTTGATCCGAGATACCCCCAGAGAATTTGTTCTCAGTTACTGGGTTGCTTCATTAAATCTCTCTTGGAAAATTGATTGTCGTGCAAACTCAACTTCTCCTCCTAGATAAAGCAAAGCCCTGCCAATAATGACTTTTCATTTTCTCCAAGCTTGTAGGAGCTTCTCTTCTTAGCCACATCTTTTCATATCATCTGCCCTTACACGCCAGGCATTTTTTCATGGAACTTAATTTTGGATAACTCCTCAAGGAATCCAAAAACTTGTGTGGCTTTATGCTGCTGAGGAATTTTTAAGCAACAGACAGACTGCAAGAAGGCATCAGATTTGAGTGAGAAAATGCCCAAACTTAGGTTCAATACTGAAATGCATCTTTTATCAAGACGTCATGCAAGTGGTTTTGGTTTTACTACTCTATAAATGAAAATGGGAAATGTTAGACTAAGGTTTACATCAAGATACATTTTCTTTTCCATTTAAATCTATCACATTTGAATCCATTGATAGAATATATTTGATATATTTGAACCTTAAATTTCATTGATTTCATTTCCACCAGCTGTCACAACCCTTTGAGTTCTCATAGTGATTGATTTTCTTTATTTTCCTCCTTAAATAACACCATTACCCTGCTGGGGATAGGGTTTTTTTTGGTTTACAGAAGCTAGCACGCTCACTGCTGTGGAATGTAACAAACAGTGGACCTCATTTTCCCTCACTTACAGCAATGTAACACCACTGATTGCAGTGGAGCCTCTCCTAGATTTAGCCCTGTTTGAGGGGAGACTCAGACCCAGAGTCTGCTTTGATTCCATCCATGTTTTGTTACAAGTCACTGTTAGAAAAGGTACACCAAATCATCTGTCTTCGACTTGGCATTGTTTTTGTTAAGTCAAGAGCGGATTTCAGTTTCATATGTAACATTTCATATACGTTTGGTCTTTAGTATGCTGGATTATGACACGGAGAACCTAAATTCTGATGAAATCTACAGCTCTCTTCGTGGAGTCACAGAAGCGATTGAAAAATTTAGTTTCCGTAGTCAAGAGGACCTGAATGAGCCAATCAAACGTGATGGAAAGAAAGACTGTGACATTGTAAGTATTAATATCCCTGGATAGGTGAAATTTTAAAATGTTGTGTTCAAACCTGGCTTTGGATTGTTCGTGTACAAAATCCAGT